TCCGGGAACCTGGCATGAGGGTAGCTTCTAAGGTGTCTTCCCATTGCTCTGGTGATCACCATGTCCCGAACCTCGAATTGACCCGAACACCTCCAACGGTGGTGCTACCTACCTCTCAATGGTGGGATGGCACTACTTTAAAGGACATTTACACAGACGAATTCCTTAGGGTAGGTAGGTTCTCGTAGATACTTGCTCTAAATTTCAAAACAAATTCAAAAATACTTTTCACACCAACACATTTTCAAAAAGCTTTCGAAAGCATTTTTCAAACACTCTTGAGGACCGATACAAGAGTCGAACTGAAATTTCCAAAGAAACTTTTTTAAAACCCACAGTTGAAAAGCAAACAAATCATTTTTGAAAACACAAGTGAGCAAGTATCTAAGAGCCCATGGATAACCATGGATAGAAAGGGTTCTAACACCTTCCTTTTCTATAATCTACCTCCCGAACCGAGAGCAATCTCTTTAAGGAATTTTTCTGTGCTTTTGTCCTTTCCATTTGGAGAAAATAAAAGACGGTGGCGACTCTTGCTTACCGCGACATTTTGCGAACCAGCGTTAAACAGTCAGTTCCAGATCCACCAATCACAGAACTGGCGACTCTGCTGGGGAATACACTTAAAGTGAGGTGTACCTTAGGGCTAGTTCATAACTGTGTTTTCAATTGTATTGATTTGCTTGCTTTACTATTGTGGGTTGCATCGGAGTTACATAGATCCTAACCCGGATCTGGGGATACCCTGTTTAGGTAGCATAAGCTGTGAGGGACCTGTCCGGCGTAGACCGACACAGGTGAAGCAGTGGCTACATTGATGTGGCACCTTGGTCTGTACCGATATCCCTTGTGTTGCAACGAGGAGAATATGGGTCTTCCGAGGAGTCATTAAGCACCAACAACCTTAGAACCTTAATTGACACAACTTGGCCTTTAGAATTGTAGCAGTATGCTACGCCCATTGAGGCTAAACTCTCGTGATGGTTCTGGCCGCAAGAAAAGATTGCGATGCTGGAGTTATGACCGATTGAGGGTAGTCAATGATATTGGGATCCTCTAAGAACCCGGTTACTTTTGATTAGGACAGGTATGAACCAACAAACTGAAAGAGGGTAATACCTAGACCTCATGCTGGCCTAAACTTTAGGGGCTTGCCTTGTGTGACTTGTGTGCCTTACCATGTTTGCCTTTGTATCTATATGTGGTGTGCTTTATCATAACATCATAGCATCATGAGCATTGCATGCATCCTGCATAAGGACTGACCATTTCAAAGACAAGAGGGTTTCACCTTTGCTCTATTTTGTAGGACATTATGATGCCTGTGCGAAGGAATACTATCCGGTTCAACTTTGTTCGTTCACCTGAGTTGCTTGATGAGTTGGTTAGCAGAATTCCAAATACCATTTCCTTCATCCAGAGGCATGGTTCTCTTCTCAGTTTAGTCACTGCAAAGCGGGATCAACAGTTGATGAGTGTTCTGACCCAGTTCTATGACCCTTTGCACCAGTGCTTCACCTTTCAAGACTTCCAGTTGGTCCCTACCCTGGAAGAGTTCTCTGATTTGCTTGGTATCCCTATCTTGGATCAGACTCCCTTTACTGGTTGGGAAAAGACCCTCAGGCTTGAGGATGTTGCTGCAGCTCTTCCTTTGACCCATCAAGAGGTAACAGACAACTGGGTGACTAGAAGCGGAGTTAAGGGTTTCTTGGCCAAGTTTCTGATTGGTAAAGCTAACAGTTTCTGGAGTGACCTGGACTTTAGGGCATATGAAGACATCTTGGCTCTCCTAATCTATGGGTTAGTCCTGTTTCCTAATCCTGACAATTTCATCAATGTCACTGCCATAAGGATCTTTATGTCTCAGAATCCTGTGCCCACTCTCTTGGGTGACATCTTGCAACAACTTCATGCCCGTACTACCCGAAGACGAGGAACCCTATGGTGTTGTATCCCTTTGTTGGTGAGGTGGTTTATTTCGCACCTCCCTAAGTTCGTACTGAAGAACCAAGAAGGAAGAGGTTGGGCTCACAGGTTAATGTCTCTCACCGATAAAGACATCATTTGGACTTGCAGAGGTTTGGATGAGATAGCTATTATTGATCGATGCGGGGAATACCCTAATGTTCCTCTGATTGGTACCCAAGGAGGGATCTCCTACAATCCATGTCTAGCACTCCGTCAGTTTGGAAGAGCAAGAAGAGCAGGTCCCCATGAGATGTTGGTGCCTCACATCAGTTTTGAATTTCAGGTGGATAGTGACGAGCTGCGTCGTAGGTTCATCAAGGCTTGGGACAAAGTTCATAAAGCTGACCCACAAGAGTTAGGGCCAAAGACCTCTTTACCTATGGAAGCCTACTACAAATGGGTTCGCATCCGTGCTCAGAAGTTAGGTATGCCGTATGAAGCTGTCAGACCCGTCATTTTTGAGTGTCCTGACAAAGATGGTGTTCCTCCAACTGTCCTTCCTCCTCAGATACCTACTGATTATGAGACATTGAAGAGATCTTGGTCGCAACTACGGGAAGAGCGGGATTCTTACCGGGAAAAGTTCAACGAGCAGGAATCAAAGATCCAGAAGCTGACAAAACAGTTGGAGAATGAGAGAGCTCTGAATGCCTACATCCACACTGAGAAGAGGAGACCATGGGATCAATAAGGAGCTCCATATGTGCTTTTATAGTTTCATTTCCTTTTCAGTATTTCCTTTCATGTAACGCCTAAGGGCAACCTGTTGAATAATTTCAGTTGCAAAGTTGAATCTAATGAAGTGTGTTCCTTTTTGTTTACAAAGTTGACTCCCGATTGTCTTTGAAAACATAAATCATACGCATTTCATACATCATGTGCATATCAGGTTTTTCCTCTTTTCAGGTTGCTTACAGTTCTTCGCTGTTTATTTCAGCATCATGAATCCCGACTCGTCATCAACTGAGACATCCATCAAGGCTCTTCAGGCGCAGAATGCGCAGTTTCAGGAATTAATCAAGGGTTTGGCTCAAGGCCAAGAAGAGCTGAAGGCTCTGCTCCTGAAGAAGGAGAAGAAGAAGAAGAGAAGAACTGTTCTGTTCAACTCGGGCCGAAGGTTTGGCAATGCTCTGCAGCAGGAATAGGCTGGTTCTTCTGTTGGCAAGAGTACTCCTCAGGCAGAAGCAAGGGTTCCTAGTCCGGTAGTCTCCGACAACGAGACTGATTTTGATGAAGAGCAGTACCCTCCTGCAGAAGACCGTTACAAGCAGCTGGAGGATAGGCTGAATGCCATGGAAATACAACAAGTACCTGGGCTGGATTTTGGAGATCTGGGTTTGTCTACTGGTGTGATTATTCCTCGGAAGTTCAAAGCACCATCTTTCTCTAAGTATGACGGGGCGTCTTGTCCCAAGCTACATCTCAGGTCCTATGTTCGGAAAATTTAACCGTACTCGGCGGATAAGAATTTGTGGATCCACTTCTTCCAGGAGAGTCTTTCAGGGACTCATCTCGAATGGTTCTATCAGCTGGATGGGACCAAGGTTCGTAACTGGGAGGAGTTGGCTACTGCTTTCTATAAGCAGTATCAATATAATGCCGACCTTGCCCCTACACGTACCCAACTCCAGGGTATGTCGTTAGGTTCAAGTGAAGGTTTTAAGGAGTACGCTCAGAAGTGGAGAGACCTGGCTGGCAGGGTGCAGCCACCGTTGACCGATCGGGAGTTGGTAGACATGTTCTTGGGGACCCTATCTGGGCCATTTTTCAACCATCTCATTGGGAATTCGTCTGCAGGGTTCACTGATTTGATTCTGATTGGAGAAAGAATCGAGGCTGGGTTAAAGTCTGGTAAGATCCCGAAGGGTGCATCGTCTAGTACTGAGAAGAAACCCTTCAAGAAGGAGGCTAGTGCCGTGTATGGTTCCAAGAGATCAGAGAGACCTGAGCGCCGCCAATCTGTCAGTGCCACTACAAGAAAAAAAGAGATTTACGACACATAAATTACGACAGTTCCCACAAAACCGTCCTTATTCCTGAATTGCGACAGTTGTCACGACGGTTAGGCTCAACCGTCGTAGATTTTCAAGTATTATGAGTAACATAATTGCGACAGTTACCAAAAAACCGCCCTCTTTTCACATCCGGGACAATTAGGTGAACTGTCGTAACTACATTAGCCAATCATAATCGCTACTTTTTTTTATTCTTTTACTTTCCCACTTTTTTTCTTTCATTTCCCCTTCTTTTTCTCTTTTATTATTATTAATAATAATAATAATAATAATAATAATAATAATAATAATAATAATAATAATAATAATAATAATAATAATAATAATAATAATAATAATAATAAATAAATTACCAACAAAATAAATTTTCACACCCATCAATATTATTTTAAGATTTTCATAATTTTATTTATTAAATTACAATTTCCTTTATATTTTTCTTCTTTATTACGATTTCACTTCTTTTCTCAAATTTAAGCATTATTTTTATTTCATATTTTTTTATTTAATAAAACAAATAATAAAATAAAAAAGAAAAGAAAAAAACAAATTTTTCGTTTGATGAAATAGAGCCAGGGTTAAGAAGTTGTTTCATCTTCTTCTTAAAACACGACTTCCTCTCCTTCTCAAAATCGCGGCCGCTCTCACCACTGCTTATTCTGTTCCGGCGCTGTCTCTGTCACCTTGCTCCGTTCATCACAGCTTCAGTCTGCCTTCGACAATCAACAGAAACGCTTCTCCGATCTCTTCTCTCGAATCTCTCTGTTAATGCCTCCGATTCCGTCTATCATCTTCGCTTCGAGCCTTCGTCAACTCCTCCATCGCTCTGTCAAAGTTAAACCATCTTTCTCTCTTCGCCTATTCAAATCGATGATGAGCCACTTCGCAACGCCTCCACACGCCCTCAGAATCTTTCAATCTCTGCTCATCTCGCTCAAATAGAGAATCGAAATAAAGGGAGAAATAGAGAAGGTAAATGGGAAGGAATTAAGCTACAATGAATTTGTTGAAAGATATATGGAGAAGAACAAACCAGTGATGCTAACTGGATTAATGGACAATCATTGGAAGGCTTGCACTGATTGGGTTAACCCTAATGGAAAACCTAATCTCCAATTTTTCTCCACTCATTTTGGTTCCTCCAAAGTTCAGGTTGATAAATTGTTACTTCTAAGTTAATTTCCTTAAAATCAATATTTAACATTGGTTGTTGGATATAATTTGTTGGTGATTATTGGTGATTGTAATTTGTAGTTACACTCAAACTTTGTAAGATTGAGATTCCTTTAACTCGTTTGAAAATTTGAAATGTTGATGCTATCAGCTGATTGAAATTTTGGTCATGGAAAGGTTGCAGACTGTGATACCAGAGATTTTACTGATCAAAAAAGGGAGGACATGCTGGTTTCCGATTTCGTTCGACTTTGCTTTAAATATGAAGGTTCTGCAGTTCAGTGCAGTAATCAAATTGGTGTAAGTAATGGTGACTCTGCATCTGTACCGTATTTGAAGGATTGGCATTTTGTGAAGGTATCATTTTTGGCTTTTCATCACTTTATCATTCATTGTTGTACGTTTGTAGTGCCTTTTCATAATTTACTTTGAAGTCTGCCCCTGTCAACCTAGATAATCCTCTTGTTGCATTAGAGTTATCATATGTTATGTTATACTACAGATGATGATTTACTAAGTAATTTCTTTTTCTAACTATTGCAGGAGTATCCTGATTACGTACCATACATCACTCCGATGTTCTTTTGTGATGATTGGCTCAACTTGTATCTCGATAACTTTAGAATGAATACTTATTCCGACAGAGACCAGCAAAATAAGGAAATATGTTGCTCTGACTATCGTTTTGTTTACATGGGAGTAAAAGGTGTGATTTTAGTTGGGAAGAAATCTTGAAATGACCATGAATCTCAGATGATTCTGCACTTTTCTATGCGAAGAGATGAGCAATCCAACAGTAACTTCTTACTTTCACTTCTTCTGGCAGGATCTTGGACTCCTCTACATGCTGATGTTTTCAGAGCAGCTCCGAAGGCTCTTCAAATTGATGAAGATGGTGAGAAAATCAGATAGCAATCTCTTCAGAAACTTAGGTACGAATACCTCACTTTCTCACTTTGAATTCACATTTCATTGGTAATTCATCTTCTTCAAATCTCTTCCACGAATTTGCTTCTTGTTTTTACTACAGTGTTATATGGAATTATTGTCCTGTGTGATTTGAAAATCATTGAACATGATGATGATGCAGTTTTGATGAAGTATGCGTGATGTTGATTATCGTTGTTGAGAAGCCGATTCGGACTTGTTGATGAAAATGATTTTGTGTAGAGAAGCAGTTAGAGAGTGAGTTTTGGAGAGATGAAGTTCTGAGAAGAGTTTCGGATGTGTGCAGAACGAATTGTTGAAGTTTTAGAAGTGAAATCGTTGAAGACTCATAGAAGATTTTTTGTAATTCTCTCAAGTTGTAGCAAACCAATGTAAATATTAAAATGAAATTTGGCCTTTGATGATATTTGAATTTTTCTTGTTTATTGGTAAAATTTGCACTTCTTTTTACCTTTGATCACATTTTTTTGATATTATTGATGATTATTTGATATTAAATGTTTTTATTGTAATTAACTTTATTATGTTGAAAAGTGATAGAAAATAAAATAAAAATACTATAAATAAAAAAATATTAAAGTAAATAATAATTTAAATATAATAGTAAAATATTATAGTAAAATAATATTATATTTAAAATTATTTTACTAAATAATAATTTAAATAAAAATATTATTTGAAATTTATAAATCAGATTACGACGGTTAAAACCGCCGCAATTTCTAACCTACGGCGGTAGAATAACCGTCGCAAACAACAACAAAAACAAAAAATAAAGTCAAATTCACGACGGTATATAACCGTCGCTATCTGTTGTGCGTGACAGTTTTTGCAACCGTCGCGAAATAGGCTGGGGACGCACGATTCTGCGACGGTACTTCTACCGTCGTAGATTGTAAATTGCGACGGTTTTAACCGTCGTAATCAGCCAAAATAACCGTCCCAATCTATCATTTTTCTTGTAGTGTGCGGTAATGATTGCTAAGCCTGCTGCCGCCCCCCGGCCAAACAATCCTCAAAGGGCTGAAAGACCTCGGAGAGAGTTCACCCGCTTGAGTATGACCTTGTCGCAGATCTTGCCACAGTTGCTCTCAACCAACTTAGTAACTATCAGAGAGGCGCCGAAGTTCCCAAATACTGCATCTCCTAAGTACAACCCGAATGCTCGTTGTGCTTACCATTCAGATAGCCCGGGGCACTCTACTGATGACTGTTGGGCGTTAAGGAGTAAGGTGCAAGACCTCATCGACGCGAAGGAGATACAGTTCGAAGCGCCTGAGAGGCCGAATGTAGTTACTTCTCCTATGCCTCAGCATGGGGTAAACGCTGTTGACGAAGATGCTTATGCTGTTTCTGTGGATGATCTAGCCACTCCTCTGAAGACTGTCAAGAAGAACCTGCTGCTGGCCGGTTTATTTCCGGGTTGCAGTGAGGGTTGCCTGTTCTGTGCTGTGTCCCTATCTGGTTGTCCCTTGCTGAAGTTAGGTATCCAAAGCCTAATGGATAGCAAGGAGATTCTGTTTAAGAAGTCTGCTGTTCAGTTGGTTCTGGTGGAAGAAGTTTCTGTGGTTACCATATTCAATAATCCAATCAAGGCTCCCCCAAAGAAGCCTGTTCAAATCATGACCGTTGCACCTGTGGTTATCACTGTTCCGGGGCCCCTGCCCTATGTATCTGATAAAGCTATCCCCTGGCATTATGGGGCCGATGTGTATGTGAATGGGATTAAATAAGAGTTCAACGTTGGTGCCAGCATCTGTGATATCACTGGCCCAACCAAGGTTACCCGCAGTGGCAGGCTCTTCTCGCCTGACATTGCACCTCCTGCTGCTCGAAGACCGCTTCTCATAACTCCTACAAGTGTACCTGTTCCTGCTGCTGATCCAATTGTTTCTCCTGCTGCCGAGGCATCCAATGCTCGGGGCAAAGGAGTTGAAGTTGAGCCTGCCCAGATGGAGGCACCTGTACCTATAACTGCTGAGGCCTCCCAACAAGAGATGGAGGAGATTCTGAAAATTATAAAGAAGAGTGACTTTAATGTTGTGGAACAGCTGGGGCACACGCCCTCCAAAATCTCCATGCTTTCTTTATTGCTGTGCTCCGAGGCCCATGCTAAGGCCTTGATTTCGTTCCTCAAGACGGCCCATGTACCACATGAGACATCTGCAGTCCAGTTCACTGATTGCGTAGCAAATCTGACAGCAGACAATGGCTTGGGTTTCTCAGATGCTGACTTGACCGCGAAGGGAAGAGACCATAATGATGCTCTTCATGTCTCTATCGAATGCAGGGGCACTACCTTGGCACATGTGTTGGTGGATACTGGTTCGTCCTTGAATGTGCTACCCAAGAAGGCTTTAGACCGTCTAGATTGTGAAGGCCTGGAATTAAAACCCAGCAATATCATCGTCAGAGCCTTTGACGGTTCAAAAAGGATGGTTCATGGAGAGGTTGACATTCCGATTCGTGTGGGTTCTCAGGTGTTTGACTTTACATTTTATGTGATGGATATCCGTCCATCTTACTCTTGTCTATTGGGTCGACCTTGGATACATAAGGCTGGGGCAGTGACCTCTACCTTGCACCAGAAGCTGAAGTACCCCGTCAGAGGGAAGATCGTCACTGTGCAAGGAGAGGAGGAATATATGGTGAGCCACCTGAACTCCTTCAGATACATCGAGATGGATGGGGAGTTTATTAAAACCCCCTTTCAGCATTTCGAGGAGGTGCTTCCAATTGCAGCAGCAACAGAAACAGCAGCAGAAGAAATTGTTCCTTTGAAGATGGCTTCCCTGAAGGATGCCCGGGTTGTGGTTCAAAAAGGTGAAGGTGCTAACTGGGGCAGGCTTCCAGACTTTACCCAGAAGACTGACAAATTTGGGCTGGGCTTTACTGCAGAAGGTCAGAAAGCTATGCGGAAGGCGAAGACCGGAAGACCTCCTGTGATCATTACAAATCCAGGAGTGAATGCTGTTGGGGAAGACAACGAAGTGGATGAGGCAGAATTCAATAGCTGGATCTACCCAACGACCGAAGGCGGATTGAACAATTGGATTGCCAAAGACCATACTCCTGTTACCTTTGTGACGCATTAATAAATTTCTTTGTTTCGTTATTTTGTAATAAACAATAAATAAACTCTATGGCCCGGTGTCTTACCCGAGGCACCGTGGTTTCATTTGTGAGGGCATATAAATTGTCATTTCATATATCATGAATGAAAATCTTGGACGTTTTCTCGCATTGCAAATCTTATGCTCCTTTTCCGTCTTTCTTTCCTTTACATATTTTTCGAAACAGCTGTATTTACACACACACTCACTTATACAGGTTCCAATCCACTCTGGATCTTACTGGTAACGACTCTGCTACTGCCAGTTATGACTTCGAAAATCCGATCAACTTAGCCAAAGACGAAGGTGAAGATGATTGCGAAGTGCCTGGTGAGCTTGCAAGACTGTTGCTTCAGGAAGAGAGGGCAATTCAACCCCATGAAGAGCAAGTGGAAACAATAAACTTGGGTACTGAGGAAGACAGGAAAGAGGTAAAGATTGGTGCCAACCTAGAGCTCAGCGTGAAGCAACGGTTGACTCAGATGCTGCATGATTATATGGAGATCTTTGCCTGGTCCTACGAAGACATGCCCGGGTTGGATACCGATATTGTGGTCCATCACTTGCCAACTAAGGAAGACTTCCCTCCAGTTAAGCAAAAGGTCCGTCGGATGCGTCCAGAGATGTCTGAGAAGATTAAGGCCGAGGTTATGAAACAGTTTGACGCTGGGTTTCTTGCAGTAACTTCTTACCCTCAGTGGGTTGCTAATGTGGTGCCGGTACCTAAGAAGGATGGAAAGGTCAGAATGTGTGTCGACTACAGGGATCTGAACAGGGCCAGCCCCAAGGATGACTTCCCTTTACCTCACATTGATGTCCTTGTTGATAATACAGCTCAGCACAAGGTATTCTCTTTCATGGATGGCTTTTCAGGTTACAATCAGATCAAGATGGCACCTGAAGACATGGAAAAGACTACATTCGTTACTCAGTGGGGCACCTTCTGTTACAAGGTCATGCCTTTTGGATTAAAGAACGCTGGGGCAACCTACCAACGTGCCATGGTTGCTTTATTTCATGATATGATCCATCATGAGATAGAAGTGTATGTTGACGACATGATCGCAAGGTCCCAGACTGAGGAAGAGCACCTAGATCATCTGCAGAAGTTGTTTGACCGGTTGAAACTGTACAAGCTGAGGTTGAACCCGAACAAGTGCACCTTCGGGGTAAGATCTGGGAAGTTGCTAGGCTTCGTGGTCAGTGATAAGGGAATTCAAGTGGACCCTGCCAAGGTCAAAGCTATCCAAGAGATGCCAGTTCCTAGGACAGAGAAAGAAGTCAGAGGCTTTTTAGGACGCCTAAATTACATTGCTCGCTTCATCTCACACTTGACTGCTACCTGTGAGCCAATCTTCAAGCTGCTGAAGAAAGATCAGGTAGTACGTTGGAATGATGAATGTCAGGCTGCTTTTGACAGAATCAAGGAGTATCTCCAAGAACCACCTATCCTTATGCCACCGGTTGAAGGGAGACCTCTGATACTATACCTGACAGTGCTGGACAACTCAATGGGGTGTGTGCTGGGGCAGCATGACGAGTCTGGACGAAAAGAGCATGCCATTTATTACCTTAGCAAAAATTTTACCGACTGTGAGACTCGATACTCACTGCTTGAGAAAACTTGCTGCGCTTTGGTATGGGCTGCTCGCCGGCTGAGACAGTATATGCTGACTCACACTACCTTGTTGATCTCAAAGATGGATCCTATAAAGTACATATTCGAAAAGCCTGATCTGTCTGGGAGAATTGCAAGATGGCAAATGATCTTGACGGAATACGACATTCAGTACACAACCCAGAAAGCCATCAAGGGAAGTGTATTGGCAGACCACTTGGCACATCAGGCAGTCGACGATTATCAGTCAATGAACTTTGAGTTTCCGGATGAAAGCATCATGATAGTGACAGATTGTGAAGTACCTGGACCGGATAAAGGACCTGAACCAGGATCCCGATGGTCTATGCACTTTGACGGAGCCTCCAACACTTTGGGAAATGGTATCGGCGCTATAATCATATCTCCTCAAGGCACTCATACTCCGCTCA